TTTTTCATGATTCTTTTTTGCGTTTTCTCAAATATATTATGATCTTTAAAAACTTTAAATTACACCCTAAACTTTATTTGAAACAATGACACTTCGCAAACGAATGTCCAGTAGTCTTGACGTGTGTGTTACTATAGATAGTGCACGACTGTAATTACCGTTAGTTTCGTAGGTTTAGATTAACAACATTTTCACGCCTTTTCATTTTGTTTCCAAATTTTAAAGTTTGTTATAAGGCTTAGTTAATAAAACATACATATTTAAATACATAAAGCGACATTTTACTTTAGAATTTTATAAATTTCGAACGTAAATATAATAGATAGTAGCTCTGTAAAAATCAAAATGGCGGAAAACACAGTCGCAATAACCAATCCTCCAGCGAAATATAAATCTAAAGTTTGGGAAAACTTTTGGTTTTTAAAAGGTGACACAACGAAAGTTGTTTGTAGAATATGCAAAACTATTCTAAAATATTGTTGTAACACAACCAATCTTAGCACTCACTTGACAAGACACCATAGTGGCGACTGTCTAAGTTCGTCTGCTAAGATTAAGAAGACGGCCAGTTCAACCTGCGGTGAAGTTCAAGCTTCATTAAAAACACAATCACATATTTAATATGTTGTTTTATTGTTAAATCTATGACCTAGTTATGAATCGCGATATGTATCGTATCGTGGCACATGAATCGCAATACGTATCGTATCGTGATTGCAGTCGCAATACCCAGCACTAGTTTCAAATCCCCGGTTGTACGTGACCAGGAGTAGGGTTGCCTGTCCAACCTCGTGGGTTTTCTCCGGGTCCTCCGGTTTTCTCTCACTGCTAAAGACCCCTACGCGCAAGCGAATTATTGAAATAAATTAAACCATATGTTAGTCCCGAAATGACCTAGTCTGTGTCGAGTGGACGTTAAACCCCATTTCTCTCTCTCTCTCTCTCTTTATCTCTCTCACTCAGTTCACTGTTCACTGATGGACATTGAATTTGAATGCCAATTAGGACTATTTTATTACCAGGCCATTTTCCTGATCTTTGGAACTACATCTTCTCATCCGAGGAGTTCACATTAATAACAAATTTTGATGTCCTTTGTATTAGGACTGACCGTAAACCATCTGTTATCATTGAAACTAACAGCATTAGTTAGTCTTGTATAATCCGTCTTGCAGGATAAAAAACATTCCCTCACATCAGTAACTTCAAACTTGATCAATGAATTACTGAGGATGACGAATGCAAATACCAATAGCACATAAAAATGAGGCAACATGTCAACTGAGATGGAACTGTGCTGTCACAAGAAAACGTGGTGCAGCCGGAAACACGACAAAGAAGTATTTAATTAGAGTTTGAAACGATCACACACATGGTCATACTGAATGCATCATTATGTAAGTGTTATCGTAATGTCACATTGATCCGCTGATGTCTATTATAAAGGAACACTTCCATTTAGTTGTAATACTAAAGCGGTATGGGTAACTCGGCAGATTCCGTTACTCTGCATCTAGCCTCGGCTGTATGACGGTAAGTGACATGTACCTACGCCTATAGTACAATTGCAATGCGGCACCAGTTTACTTATTGTGAAGTTATCAAAATTGCGTCGTTCGAAGCGTGTGTAGAATTTTCAGTACAAATTTGAAAGAAAAACATCTTCAGTCTTTGAAATATTTGTATGATAAAAACATTCTTCAAAGGCGTCGTCATGGACAGCGCCGTTGGTAATCCGGGAACTTGAAAGTAGTTCCAATGGCAGACTTTTGTCATACAGCCGAGGCTAGATGTAGGCTACTGGAATCTGCCGAGGCTTGCCGAGTGGGGAAACTGGCACACTTTTTGACAAATATAACAGAATGTATCTTCAAAACAATATTCGGACAAGCATAAAGTCATTCTGCACACAAAGATCCATCTACTTCATTCCTCGAGAATAGATCTCTGCCCTAAATGGCCGCCATATCCAAAGAGTAGTAAACTGTATTGTAATGCGTTTCTTCTCCGTTTCACAACTGTCATACACACAAAGACTAAATGAACTGCACTTTTAATTTTTTTTAAATGGAAGCAGAGTAAATATTCAACTAATTTCTCAAAATATACTTTGTGTTTTCGACTAAAATCGTCGATCTAGGACTTAACACTCTTCCATCGTCTTGATGTTCGCGAAATGCCGATTGTGGTTTTCCATTCACATCGTATTAAACACAAACATTTTCTCTAAGACAAAATTAAAGCAATTCTTTACAAATTTGAAGTATAAAGAAGTCATAACTGGTCTGATGAGCGAAGCACCGCCCATTCCATAATATCTATACTAATATTTGTGACTGTCGTTTGTCTGTCTGTCTCTTCAGGGCTTGTGGCTACGGCTGTCCCGAGGCTGAAATTTGATGTCAAGGGGTAGCTCTAAGATCGGAACGGGGAGTAACAGACCTGGTGGCGCTGGACTACCGTTTCCGGTTTTGGAGTTATAGTATTTTCGGTCCCGGGCACAACCCGTTCAGCGCCGAGTCATCCGCTAGTAGGCTATTTCTTAAAGTTGACACGTCCCTTTAAAATTTAACCACTAGCACAAACTATCAGTGCGTTTAATGCAAATCAATTCCAAAGTGTATTGACAACATAGATGGATTTAAAAGTCGTGCTCGAGATAGGATATGTGTTTTATCTTTGCTCATGACTTGTGTCCGGTAAAAGTTATCAAATTGCATCTTCAGTTCATTCGCAATAACCAACCTGCATTGCTAGATCTATGTCAACTTCCTATATTTTTTAAAGTCAATCCTATCGGCCATTTAATGATTTAACTTAAAAGTACAGAAGCGAGGCTAAGACTCGAATATACCAGTACCGTAGCTACGATAATAAACAGATAATAAACAATCAATGCACACATCTTGTCAAAACTACAAACAGTGATAACTTGCCTCAGAATAAAGTAATGTGAATGAAATTTTCAATATATTCATTTTGCATTATCTATTTTTGAACTATTGTAGCAAGAACGGCCAGCTCTTACACAATGTATCTTTAACTATGTAACACGTGACCGATAAAGTTTACTGAATATACAAATACTAAAAAAGAAATTAAAATTTATAATATTTTAATTAGATCAATCCGTACAATAATTTATATAATAAAACAATAATAGAAAAAATTCTTCACAAATAAAACATTTGGTATATATATAACCCCTGTAAACGGAGAAAACAATAAAAATGCATCTTTACTTGCTTAAAGGGGTTGAGAGAATACTCTTCGGAACGTCTCCTAAATAAATTAAGTACATGATGTAACTGGATAGACCAGTAAACTATACCACATACTTATGGAAGAGAGAGAGAGAGAGAGAGAGAGAGAGAGAGATGGAGCTTAACGTCCACTCGACACTAATTTACTAGGTCATTCAACCCCCCACTTATGGAAGAACTTGCTTGAAAACGTTAAGAGAATACTCCCGGAAACATCGCCAAAACAAATTAAGTAACTGGAAAGAGGAATTAAGTTATGGAAGAACTTGCTTGTAGACGTTGAAAGAATAGTCTTGGAAACATCGCCCAAATAAATTAATAATTTGTTCTTCCATAAGTATGTGTTATAGTTTAATAAAATACAGTGCTCTCTTAGCTTGACAATTGTGCATGAAGCCGGTGGATCAATAATGTTTAGGGGGTTAAGGTAAGGGAAGGGATTTTCATCGCCTGGAATCTTATTCACCAAATGAAATGAAATGTGGTTTAATGTAGGGCATACGCCATTGTGTTCTATGAGGGAAATTTTGCTGCCTCAGTTTTTCGTCCCATCCAAACGACTAGACAACACTGTTCTTGTCCTCCGCCACCGATAAGGGGAAACCACGCCGGAAAATCCTGAGGCTTCCCCTTATTCACGAAAACTGAAACTAAATATTTTAACATCTTTTCATAGGCTAACTGTGTTAGTATTTTAAACCCAATCAATAAAATGGCTGTATTTTTGTGTTCAGATTTCCTGAATAGGGTATTAGGGCAACAGAAGGATGAAGATATTTAACAACCAGGGCTAGAAATGTTGATGATTTCACAGAATATAAGATGTGCGGGTTGTGTATATACAATTCATTGCAGTGAGTTAATACATTAGTGATATTTTTTTCTCGTATTCTGTAAAAAAATACAAAACAACAGTCGCTCTCCATGTATTCACATACATCAGAGCGCATGACGCAATACACATATAAAAATATGTATTCAAAAATCGGATCAATAAGTATCAAAAATATAAAAGATTAAAATATGTACATGGATACGTGTTCTTAGGTTATATGATGTACACACGACAATCGTTGTGGAAAAACTATGGCACATCCAAGGGGTTCGGTGCGTGAGTTCTGGGCAAAATGCGTTCTCGTCCCCATCGAGTCCTTATTATAGACGTTTTCTCAATGGATACGAGATGAGATAAAATGTCTTTTGGAACATATCTTGTTGTTCTTCTTGTTCTTCATTTTGGCGACGACACTCTTCGAAAAAGCCTAAGGCTCCCGCTAGCTCCAGTAAAACTGACATGAAACTTGGCATGCTTTCGCATCGACCGACGTTACAATTTCAAAATGGCGACGATGACGTCATGCTCGGTGCCAGGTCCACAGTGCGCTCTTGCTTGTTTGACCCGGAATCGTTAATGTTCTCCAATTGAACCATACCATTAGCGAGAACAGGTATTAGAAAATAAGCATATTTTAAATTAATTCGATATAATTTTTGTTTAGAATACATAGTCCGAAAGCTCAATATATTTACATATATATATACGTCATAATAATTTTATCTATACGAGATCAAGATTTGTTTTGAGTTCAGAAACGTGTATTCTACACGTACACGTCGCTGGATATGCTCAAGATATTCGAGATACACTGTACATGATATGCTAAAGATATTCGAGATATGCTGCACATATTCGAGATATGCTGCACATATTCGAGATATGCTGCACATATGCTGCACATATTCGAGATATGCTGCACATATTCGAGATATGATGATATGCTGAATATATTCGAGATAATATAGTGATATAGATGTTGGGTTTCTTTATAGTTATTGTAAAAGTCGTGAAATCACATATTTTACAGTACGCTAAAGCTAAAACGACATTACTGACCGAAACATAATCTATCACTCATATCAACGGCAAAATGACACGCACTAATGTATATATCTCTATTTAACTCATAATTTTATGCTAACTTTCTTATATTCTTCATCTCGTAACGGTTTCCATGGTTTTCCGAGCATTTTGGAAACTTCCCGAGAAGCATCTTCTTGTTTTCGCGAATTCCTTTTGAGGAAGCGATAAAATTCATCCGAAATTCCAGCAGTTTTAGGCCAGTCCATCTTTTTAATCAAAGCATTTTCTCTTACCACTAAGTTCTCGAGGTTTTTTCCTTCCTTGGCTATAATGAGCAACGTCGCAGTAGAAATTCTTTCCCTTATCAGTAGTGTTTTCAGACTCGGGCACTGTCGAATAAGGTGGACGAATGTTGAGTCTCCGCGTTCAACAAACGATCTGCTACCGTGATTACGCGGGAGACCTTCTTGGGCGAAAACCTCTAATGTCTTTTTGTAATACTCACAAACGCTACTTGCGAAATCTAGATTAATTTTGGCATATGGTGTGCGGAAGACGACAGAGTATACTGGAGCATGGGGCTGAATAATTATATCTTTTCTGGTAATACCTCGAATAGACAAAGATACCCGAAAGGCTGGTGCCATTTGTTTCACCAGTTTCCACACTTCGTAAGACAGAGCTTCCGTTTCACAGGTGTAAGCATCTTGTACGATATGGAGTTTGTTAAGTCCCATACCACCGAGCAGCAGCAGCATCTCTTCATCTAGGTGCTGGGGAGTAATAGTTAATGTTTTAAGGTTACTGAATTGTGAGATGTCGGTCATGGGCAATGGGACCTTGGAACAATTCAAAAGCTCTAACGTCTGAAGACTCTCTGAGCAGTTCAATGCGATGGATTCCAGGAGTCCCTGAACCTCTTCGGCATCCAGAAGAAGCTGATTCAGCTTCACGTGTTTTAGACTATGCATGTTTGACAGAAGTGATTTCAAGATTTGGAGAATCTTTCCACCAGTTCCATGAACGATAACCCCCGTCATTCCCCGACTTTCACAAGCAAAAGTGAAGTCGAACGTGTGCAGAAGAGGCATTCGATATTCCTCGGGGCAATCCAAAAAGGCTGTCAAAACTCTCAAAAATTCGTAAAGATTATAAAAATCACTGAGTGGGGTTATAATTATCTTCTTAAACAACGATCCAACACGATGAAGGCAGACTTGGGTTTTTCGTGGACAGAGTTCTCTCTGGTAGCCTTTGTAAAGGTTGAAGCGCCTTTTGGTGAGGGTCGTCTGCATTAGTACGAAGGTTCCCCATACTCGTGGGGCATAGAAAGCTTGATACCATGTTCGGCATACCTGCGACGCTTCGTGTCTGTGTTTAGGAACTAGAAGAGCAAAAATATCTTCTAAAAGAATCTGGGGAAGATTGGATCCCCAGTTGTCATCTCCGTCATCTGGTTCATCAATAGATTTAATTCGCTCTCTCCATTCTGTCTCAGAGAAGAAATGGGATGCTTGTAAAACATATGCTTTAAAATCCATCTGAAAAGAAAAACAAATTTATAGAAATTAAAAATTTTGCTAGTCTGGGAATAAAATCGATGACTGCAAAAACAAAAATAAATCATGGTGTTGCAATCTGATGAAAATGTAGATCTATATTTCGTTTCTTTTTTTTTAGACTTTCGATGGTCTACACTACATGAAGATTTGACCGGTTGTAGTGGAAGGTCGCGTCATGTGTCATACGTGCGGCTTTTGAACTTATGACGTCAGACATCGATTAATCAATCAATCAATCAATCAATCAATCAATCAGTGTTGACGTTTCTAGTGGTTTACCCAAAGTTCCGTGCACCTCACGCTAAAAACTCGTCGTTACAGACCGTTTCATTGACTAATCCCTCACATCATCCAGAACGCGGGTTATATAACAACTCTTTCAGATCCTAGTGTAGTAAAGACAAGTAAAACGAAATTTTGAACTATAAAAAATGAAACGAAATTGGTGTTTTTGGAAATAAAGCACAAGATCGTTTTTGGACCAGGCTGATTTAGGTCTACCAGACGAAACGGATTTACATAATTACCAAATGACATGGGTGCATGGTACCAATTAGACTCATGACACCACACCGCTCAATGCAATATTTGCATACAATCTCTGGTGTTTGGCTTAATTCTTTTCAGAAAAAAACGGAAAGCCGGATTCCTGAAACTTGTGGTTACCAGTGATTCAGAAATATGGCGGAAGGCAGGTTTGACCTTCCAGATCACATGGATAATATCATTTCAACATTTTAGATAACTGTGTTAAACATGCATTAAGTAAGAGCTAAATCTGCCTATCGTAGATCTTTCTTTAGGCCTGAAATGTTATATAAGAGAGAGGGGTCTTTAGCAGTGGGAGGAAACCGGAGGACTCGGAGAAAACCCACGAGGTTGGACAGGCGACCCCACTCCTTGCCGCGTACAACCGGGGATTCGAATCCACGCCAGTTGACTCAATGACAGGCCGTATGATACAGCACGCACGTGCTAACCATTCGGCCACCCAACCCCCCGAAATGTGATATAAACTATTAATTAGATATTTATTAACATGACAAAACCATAATCAAACAGATTTGCGATTCAACGACCGTTCACGATTAACCGTAAAAGTGGATAATCCACACTTTATTATCGTAAAAATGGTAACCATGACAATCGAGGCGACAGTGTTTTGAAATTGGGTTTTCTCGGCTCAGAGAGAAGTAATTTGACTAAAATTTTCAGCATATTCTGTGTTCAATATCCATCAGTTTACTATTATAGCGAGAACTGTCAGCTCTCTCTCTCTCTCTTATCTTACCTAATACCCCTTTAAGTTGCACCTTAACCACACACACACACAAAAAAAAACAAGTGCAATAATAATGTAATTTTTATAGCCGTTTTCCAAAATTAAGTTGATTGATTTGTCCATTCTGTAATAATCGTTTTCATGTTTACATGATGGAATCATTTAAATCACAACCTAAAATACATTTAATGAATTGCTTTTAATAAATTATATATTTAAATTGGCCCACCCAGCAGGTTCGTCAACGCCAAAGTTCTTTGAAGACTGTCATGTGTGGTATGAACTTGGATAAGATAGTCAAGAATTGCGTGATAAATAAAATTCAAAGGTTCATAAAAGATGGTGATGAACGGGTGTAATCACATTGATTATTCAAATAATACATTCCCTGGTAGACGTTTAACTACATAATATAAGGTTAATTACTTTTAACATGGCAGAAAATTGATTAATCCCGTCTTATCTCTTCAATAAACATTTCTCAAGTGTTTCTTATTTGGAAGAAAAAAAAAATAAAAAAAAAATGGTGCAGCTCATCGACTCGAACCTGCATGAATATATGGTTGAAGTGCGTTGTCACGATATCAGTATTCTCGAAATCCAGATTCGGTTGAGGTCGGCTTCTAATCAATTGAATCAACCACTCTGTTCTTTCAAAACTAGTTAATTTATGAAGATACATCGCGCGACGAATGATAAATTTATATGGGATATATCATATATCAGGGTGATGGACTCGCAAGATGGGGTTTGCTTTGGGGTGGGGTGAGGTGGGGGTGGGGTATTAAATGGTTGACGGACTCACATCTTCTGGTAAGTTTAACTATTGAAGACAACTAACTATTTGTTATTCAATACATGACTCGACTGGCATCAAATATGGAATGGTATATAGCCAGGCCATCGTGTTTCGGCCATGGACGTTCATACTGACTGCAACTACCTTCTTCGGGTTTACGGCTAAAAATCTGTTTGGTCGGCATTGTAAAAAGCCTGTGTTTGGCCGAAACGTTATACATGTACATTCAATCAAGACAACACTGATTTTAAGCTGCCACTAATAGCCAAAATAGATCTGCGTTTGTTAAATGGGCATTTAAATTACGTTACATAATTTACAGATAAAGGCTGTATCTTAGCCAGACACAGTTCTGCACAGTTCTGCCATTCTTTTGGCGTCTATTTTTAGACAGGCGTAGCTTTGGAGATCAAGTAACCTACATTTACGCAAAGGCAAAAGCTTTACGATAAATTTTTCGATCTGGATATCCGAATGTACCAGTATTTACTTTTTTTTTCATTCCACTGCCAAGGTCAGAAGAAAATAAATATTGCATAATACGTTGATCTTCACTATTATACAAAGTCAAACTTTTCATGGCTTCTCTTACATTTTAGGTTATTCTACAGAAAATAAGTAAAATATTGAGGTGGCGCACTAGCGGAGCTGTTTTAGACAAAGGCACCGTTGTCCATTTTCTAGGCTAGAGTAAATTATACGATCATTGTATTATACTTATAAGTTATAACAGGATCCTCTACAAAATAGATTTGTAGACTTCGATACATTAATGATTAAGAACAATAGGTGTGAATGGAGATAATTACGAAAAGAATAGAAATAGAAAATGTAAACAATATTAATCTTGATCAAATTGATTGGAATGGACAAGAGCAGGGCAACCAACCAAAGTTAATTGTTGTGAAGGAAAATCACGTAAGGAAATGAAGGCGATTTAATTCTGTATTCAGATATCCGGCAGATATTTGAGGAAGCATGGAACTGAAATAGTCAACAGGTGATCGTCTCTAGAAAACATCTTACCTTCGTCTATGGCACCAATAACATAATTTGGTTCTTGTCTAATGGCGCAAATGGCGTCGTCTGAAGATTCTATTATTAACTCCAAAGTTCAAGAAACCACTCCAGATGCCAGTTAGTGAACTAAACGTGGTGTAAGGCAGACAACTCCTGTTTAATCAAAACCATATCGAGTGTCTAATTGGTTCCATGCCAGTATTCAAGTTTCTAGAACAACATAATTAAAACAATATCACGGGGAAATGAGGTATTACGTTTTTGCTGTGATGAATAATTAACTTTACGCACAGCATATTTCAAGAAAACGATATTCTGTTGAAAGTATGGTGCCATATATTTGCCATGGTAAAGTCTACCTATTGGTGCCAAATAATTATACATAATTGAATTGAATTACAATTAAAGGTTATTTCATTTGCCTCCTCTGTTTAACTATTTGATGGGGACAAATAACCAGGCCCGTAACTAGGGGGGGGGGGGGGGCGCAGCTGTGAAAAAATTGTCAACCATAAAAACAATAGATATACATTGTCCGTCAATTTTACAGCCCCCCTCCAGAGAACACTTTCCGCCCCTCTCGTTGCTCTGAGCTAGTTACATCCCTGCACATAACACAATACTTAAAATGATTTCCGATTTATTTCAAAATGTTCTTAAATAATTCAAAAGTATATCACATTCACATTTATAATTTGAATTAAAAATTACATGATCATCCTTTGTAAAATAAAAGTTTGAGTTCATATACATAATGCCACATGATGAAAGATTAATAATGATAATAATGTATTGTAATAAATGGATAATGAGTTGAAATGAAATAAAAGCTTGTTCTATGACAGGGTGACAGTTTAATGAAAATGAAATAAAATATAATTTGATTCTAAGTAATGTAAGTCTGCCTTTTTGCGGCTGATGAAGATGGGGAAGGATTTAACCCATTAGCATTTGAACCATCCCAAAAATACCTGAAACTACTCCTCCAGTAAGTGCCCCAAATCGTCTGAAACTACTGCTCCCTCTACAGCCCTACATTGTCTGAAACTACTACTACACCCTCTAGCGTCTGAAACAACTACCAACTCTAGCGTCTGAAACTAGTAGTTTTGATTCTGGGAAACAGTACTTTCAGGGCATTTTGGAAAATAAGCTAGGAACCTCAATTTTAAAAAAAAAAAAAATCATTTTTGTTTAATTTTTTCAATATTAACACATTCCAAATGCTAATGGGTTAATAATAATAATATGGAATCCTCTAAATGGAATATAACTTTGTGTTAAAAATTTCATGAATAACTAAATAATGTAGATGAGACAACAGAACTAAAACTCTAATGATGCAATATGCCTGGTTGTTCATTTAATACCGTTTAGTTTATATCATATTGTCTTCAATACATCTCCATAGAAACTAGTAGCTGCATGTATCCAGACACATCCCCATTCCTTATATAGGTTTGTTTAATTTTTGGTTCAAGGTCTTTTTTATCCAGTCAGATCATTCTCAACCCATGGTTGTGCATGGCAGTTTGATTGTTCAATGTGATTGAATACATGTACATCACCACGAGACGATAACGATCAGCTACATGTTAACTGTTATTTGTGATGTGTGGGCCATCTTAAACATCACCCTATCATATAATGGAATAAATAAGTGCCTGGTTGACCCAGATTTCATTTAAAAATCCATATTTGAATAAGCACCCAGTGGGCAGTAAAATGGGGCCATATAAATTTATATCCATGGAATGTGATATTATACCAATATAACATACAAAAGTAATGGGCGCCCTCACTCGAGTTCGTTCATTCCTGGAGTTTTACGTCCACTTCCACCAAGGGTGATATCGTAGACATGTCGCAAGAGATAAAGGGGTATAATTGATAGGTGACATCATAGAGGATGTGACCTCATTATTTACCTTACAGTAATTGTTTTCCTGTACATTCATTACGAACTGGCGCGTTGACAAACATTAGTTTTTGTCGTTAATATGGAATGTGATCACGATACGTCGAAATACAGTTCTCTTACGATTGATAATGTCACTCGAAACCAGGAATTGACTAGCGACGCCTGGTGAGAATTCCTTAAGCAATGACGCCCATTCTTAACAGAAACTTGGACAATAACTTTTTCACAAAAATTCCATGTAGAGAGAAGTACACTGACATGTAATAATGCTTATTTGAGTCAAATATATTATATTCCATTTTTAAACAAGACAGTCTTTTTAATCTGTATCTGTATCATCACTATCAGAATCCTCGGCATGCCTATTTTCCCTCTTTTTTCTGGATTTTCTGTGTTTTTTATGTTTTCTGCTTTTTTTGTGCCTACGAGAATCTGAGTCACTGTTATCACTATCATCATCATCACTATCCAGTGAGCTACCTCCATCTGAATCATCATCTTCTGATTCACTTTCCCTCTTTTTTTTCTTCTTTTTACTATGAGACTTTTTCTTTTTTATTGGTGATCTTGAACGGTGCTTCCTAAAATTAAAAAAAAAAAGATAGTTTAATTCATTATATATTTTAAAATAATGAATATAGTCTTTTAAAGCATATACCTGTATTTAAAGGAACCATCCCCATTTTAACAAGAGTCTCAGAAATAAAAGTCTCTGTAAGTATGAAATTTAAGCGTCAAAATATAGAGGAATGCTGCATTTACCTTGTCTCAAGATTTCAACTCAAAATATTGAGTCGTTTGAACGTAAATGTCAAAACCGCTTATCCAGACACGTAACCCTTTTAAGATTTCGGGTCAGTTTTTCCGTTGGGTGATCTGATAATTTATTGCTGTTCCTTTAGAGGTTTATATAGTGAATGACCCACATGCTGTACTTGATAACGAAAGGTAAATTTCACCTACACGTTATTTTTATAAAATTAAAGTCAGGTTTTATCCAAACACCGTATAATACAGCTTGGGACACTGGTCTCCATTTCCAGATGAAAACTGACGGGTTTAAGTTGCTTGAAAATGTATCACATATATTGAGTTAGTTACTCGGCCATAAGGTAGAGGATTTTAAGGGACTTTAACACAAAATTAAGCAGTTTTATTCTACAAAATATAATCGTGATTAGCTCTTTAACCTTTTCACCTTTTAACAAGAATAACTATGAATAAGCTCTATAATTTTCTCAAAGTTGCTTTATACACATTAGGGGGGTTAGATGGCTGAATGGTTAGCGTGCGCGCGCTGTATCATAAAGTCTGTCATTGAGTCGACTGGCGTGGTTTCCAATCCCCGGTTGTACGTGGCAAGGAGTAGGGTCGCCTGTCCAACCTCGTGGGTTTTCTCCGGGTCCTCCGGTTTCCTCCCACTGCTAAAGACCCCTACGCGCAAGCGAATTATGTAAATAAAATTAAACCATATGTTAGTCCCGAAATGACCTAGTTTGTGTCGAGTGGACGTTAAACCCCATTTCTCTCTCTCTCTATACACATTAACGTGCATGTAAAAGAACCCTTCACATATGAAATTCAAAATAAGAGTAGGTCGTAGTTGCTGCTATTTGGGAAAAATGTCCCTCATAGTCATAGCACACTAGTGCTGGGTATTGCCACTGCAGTCAAGATACAATATGTATTGCGATTCAGGTGGTATGATATGATTCGTATAACAATTCATAATCAGGTCAATATTCTCCCAGAAATCAACAGGATAAATGAATAACTGATATTTTTAGGCCTGCTGATGTTGAAGAAATAAAACTGTTTCATATCATAATATTGATGTGGATCAAAATACATGTACTGTGTACCTATGGATAATGTGTAACATGGATAATTCAGAGTGACAAGTTACTGAGTGAAGCAACAAAAACAGAATTTTGAGAAGGTAAATGAAATGAAATGGGGTTTAATGTCCTATTGTTTTGCTCCGAACTGGGCTAATGAAGACGGGCATACACCATACAATGTGCTATGAGGGAAATTTTGCCCGGACAGCGGCACTACAGCCTACTCTTGTATAGAATTCCAACTTTCAAGAGATCTTTTACGTGTACACAGGACCTCGATTTTCCATCCCATCCGAACGACTAGAACCACACCGGAAAATCTATATGAACTTTCTCGGCCAATGCAGGGATCGAACACCGACCTCCAGGCTAGCCAGCCAGCAATTAACCCACTTAGCCACTGTGACCCCCATCTTGAGAAGGTGAATTGCGATACATCGATTCAACGATGTATATCATGCCGGCACTATAGCACACCACATTTCTGCCTTTAATGCTTAGCAGAAAAATAGGATTATAAACGATTCAATTTTCGGCTATTATCCATTTTTACGTTAAATTATCCATCACAAAATGTATTTAAATCCACTAAACATCGCAGGCTAACGATGGCATCGAGAGTTGATTATAGCCTGGATTAGTTAATTAATAATTTAGATAACATTTTTGACCTAAAGAAAGACCTGCAATAGGAAGATTTAGCTCTTGTATCGTGTATGTTTAATGGGATGATATTTGTTTTACTTACTTTTTTTCTTTTTTCTTTTTCTTTTCCTTGCCATGTTTCTTCTTCTTTTTCACTTTTTGACTGTTTTCATCTGAAATCCAATATATCCATTATACTTTATTATGTCTAATATTTCTTAATGAATATTTCTTACTCACTGAAGAATCACATTTAGACATCACAAAAATGTGAATGCCTGTAAAAGTTGTTCAAAATAATGAAATTGCCCAAAAGATTTTTCATGAATTGGCTAAAACAAAACCCCCACTTACAGACTTTAAAAATAGATCTCTCCTCTGAATGTAATGTGGTTTTAATCTGATTTTCATCTTTAATACACACAATGACTCAATAAACATTTTCAATTTATTAAATGGAAGCAGAATAAATACTCCTCCACACAGTCAATCACAGTCATAGACTTCAGAGAGAGAGAGAGAGAGAGAGAGAGAGAGAGAGAGAAATGAGGTTTAACGTCCACTCGACACAAACTAGGTCATTTCGGGATTAACACGGTTCAATTTTATTTCAATAATTAGCTTGCGCGTAGGGGTCTTTAGCAGTGGGAGAAAACCAGAGGACCCGGAGAAAACCCACGAGGTTGGACAGGCAACCCTACTCCTTGTCACGTACAACTGAGGAATCGAAACCATGCCATTTGACTCAATGACAGACTTTATGATACAGCACGCACGTGCTGACCATTCAGCCATCCAACTCCCCCTCTGTTCTCAAGTAGAGATAATTGTAGATAGACAGTGTAACTTCGGATGACAATGTCAGATGAAAAGTTGCAATATTAATTACCTTTTTTTAGTTGTGAAAGTGGGGATATAAAGTTTTCATCATCAGAATCTGAGCTGGTGCTGCTAATATCAAGAACGACTTCTTTTTCAGGATCAGCCTTGATAAAATTACGACATTGAAAGGTTAAATGTCCAGCTGAAATAATCAATTAAATACTTTTGGATTGTTAACGCAGAAATTGTTAAATTATTACATCAGTGATGGGATTTCGCCTGACGCTATTTTCCAAACGTCCTAAATTGTCTGACCAGGAATATGCCCAATCGGACATCAAGACATGGTGAATAATATTCAAAATTCCAAAATTAATATAGTGTACTGAGTGTATAATTACCACTCAACCCAATTACATTACGAATCAACCATAGAATAAACACATTATAAATGAGCAAAAGATACTTTGGATATTAGGTGCTACATGTATATTAATAAATTCTTCTTACTAAATAACAAGAATATTGGTCTTCTTTAATTGAAATGAACTGGGGTTTAATGTCCAACCCTTCTGCTCATTCCAGGAAAACGCCATACAGTGTGCTATGAGTGGAATTTTCCCAGGCAGCGGCACTATGGCTTACTCTTATTTCGAATTTCAACTGTATTTCAAGTACACACCAATTTGTACACGGGACCTCGGTTTTCCTTCCCATACGATCAACAAGACACTGTTCATTACCAGGCTTTCCGACCTGCACATCTGATGACAGGGGAAAACCACACTGGGAAATCCAGAGTAAATTCTTGGCGGAAAATCAGGACCTTAAAGTTAGCAAGCTAGGGCCTTACTCAATGAGCAACTGCAGTGATTCTAGGATTGTTATAGTACATGTATAATGCAGTCCTGAATTCGATGAAGGATAATGTTGAATTGTCAAATTTTGCACATATAAATATTAAATTCTTCTTTTACTGATTAGGTAGTTTGAACACATTTGCCATACATTAAAAATCTACCATAAAAAGTTATGAAAACCATATACATATTTTTGCTCGAAATAATTACCGGTACTTTAACTTACCATAGCCACATTTTTTACAAGCTGCTCTTAGACCATCATTAGTCTTATTGGTAAACTTTGTAATTAAACCTGAAAAATAATCATTAGTCTTATTGGTAAACTTTGTAATTAAACCTGAAAACTATTGAAACAAGTGTTATTTTGATTCTTCTAACATGCAAGCCCTGGAAATAAGGCACCTGGGCCCTTATTCACGAAAACTTAAACTAAGATACAATCGAAATTTTAAGAAATATTGCAATTAGATTGGCTGACCAATATGTAAATTGGATATATGCAAATTGATTTTACTGGTCAGCCAACTGAATTGCAGTATTTCTTAAAATTTCGATTGTATCTTAGTTTAAGTTTTCGTGAATAAGGGCCCTGTCACAGACAATGTCAGACACAGATTCTGGCTTTGTCAGGCACAAAACCTCTGGTGCCTGTCATTTTGTCCGACACTGATTTGTCTTTTTTATTGACATTATTAATACATGTAACTAAGTTGAAAATGTCAGGTACAATTTCATTAGTGTCTGACATTTTGTCATGTGCATCTAAAACCGTTATTTCCAGGCCTGGTTACTAACATTTAAAACAATAATACTTGTACATAACAATCTTTTTTTCTATGATAGTTTAAGCATGATGTAATCCTTTTATGATTGCAAAAATGATATAAAAGGGGTTTAACGTGCTACTGTTCTGCTCCGACTGGGCTAATGAAGACGGACATACGCCATATATTGAATTCCAACTGCCAAGGGATGTTTTACGTGCATGCCAATGTATACAAAGGACCTTGGTTTTTCGTCTCATCAGAATGTCAGGCTCTCCGTCCTGCACCAATGACAAAGAGAAACCACGTCGGTTTTATGATGCAACTGGCCAACTACCTAGTGGCAGTAGTACACTAAGCATTGTGAAAAAGCTATGAAAACTCTGGCAGATGAGGAGGAGACAGTTTTGTCAGCGATATCACTTTGGTGGAAGTGGACGTTAAATAAAGCCATTTCATACATACATGTAGGAGATAATATAATAAAGAAATGAACTGAAATGGGGTTTAATGTCCTATGGTTCTGCTCCGACTGGGCTAATGAAAGCGGGCATATGTCATACAGCGTGCTATAAGGGAAATTTTGCTTGGACAGCGGCGCTTTGACCTACACTTATAAGTTATATCAAACTCCAACTGCCAAGGGATCTTTTATGTGCATGCCAATGTCTACACAGGACCTTGGTTTCTCATCTCATCTAAACGACTAGAGTAGACAGCTGTCCTTGTCAGGCCCCCCATCCTGCATCACTGACAAGGGAAAACCACACCGGAAAATCCCACTGAGACACCGTGGTTCCGAGAATGATAACACTATCTTGTCACATAAATCATAGTATGATTGAGTGTCTGTCCTTTCCATATACATGTATATAACAAACATGCAATATTTTTTATTGGAAATAACTACCCTATAGGCTATAAATATTTTCGTGGGAATAGGCTATATCATAGGCTATAAATATTTTCGTGGGAATAGGATATATCATTACCGGTATTTTTAATTTTAAACTCTTTATTAGTTTAGATTTAGACCTATTTTCGTAGCTAAGAACACTTGACTTAGACTACCCATAGGCCTACATTTCTTTATCAGAAATTGTAATATCGATACATTTATTATTTGATTTAATAAAATACTAACCTTGAACATCATGGTGCATAATGAAACCTTTATTAGAATGGGGAAAGAAATCAAGTTGTGGCAAAAATTCCAAAACAAATTTGACTTCAAGAACACCGGAAATGAATAAATTTAGTCAGTACTACCCGATAATCAAACAAATAACCGGTTTATAAAAATATAATTACAATTAAAAATGCAAAACAAAACAAGCTATGATATTATATAAAAACACTTACAGGTTCTCGATGCAATTTTATAGTAATAAAAATCAAGAAAAAGTGTTCGCGATATTTCATGTTTATCACTTGCTTTGGACTTTCAAGATGTCTGCGCCCATGAAACACAAGTGAATTGTTCCACAGAGTCACAGACCTATTATTGAGTAGGCCTATATATAATAAGGCATTTCGATAATAACAGCTATGAGTAGCATTTATATAAACGAGCCACCTACGACAGGAAAGGTGATAAAGATTATTTGATAAAATATAGTACCGTCGTATATAATAAATAAAATATTGGCATTGATTTGCATTCAGAATTGTGTCTATATGATATGGCAAATCGTTTTTCTTCTTCTCTATAGAGTGATCTTTTCTGTAGGAGGAAACTCATGAGGTTGAGAAGGCACCCCTATCTCCAAGCCACATACACTTACACAACTACCGCAAGCCAGAGATGACCGGCCAGGTAGTGCGACACTCTAGATCACTAGGCCATCCTAACCAGCCTTACAAATCGAGAGTAGTTCTTTAATATACATTGACACTTTTTACAGCTTTGATCATATTTATATAAAGCCACATCAGCAACATTGGTACAATGTCATGTTTTATCCAAACTGTATTACTTCACAAATACACTTCTGAGCAAGTTCAATCACAGTGGTGTTGCAAGTCTAGTGATGTGGTGTGACAAACATAATCTAATCATGTTACGCTAAATAACACACATGATCTTTAAAATATATTTATATATTTGTTAACATTTAAATGATGTACCCATTACCACATTGACTTGCTTAATATATTCCTGATATATTCCAACAGCAATAAGCCTCTAGCCACTTGAAACGGTTAACTTATTATTCATAGATGCTTTATTTATTATGGTTATCATTACAGATTTTATTGGAAACAACTGCAGGAGATATAGATATCGAGTTATGGTCAAAGGAAACTCCAAAAGCATGTCGAAATTTTGTTCAGTTATGTATGGAGGGCTATTACGATGGAATTATATTTCATCGAGTTGTCAAAGATTTTATTGTTCAGGGAGGAGACCCAACTGGAACAGGGGAAGGAGGAGAATCTGTATATGGAAAACCTTTTAAGGTGCTTTAAAATCATATTCTAATGTTTTAATAGAAGTATTAAATTTTGAAAACCAGTACCAGTGTCTGTATAAGAGAGAGAGAGAGAGAGAGAGAGAGAGAGAGAGTGAGACAGAGACAGAGATCATTCTGTGTGGAGATCCTCTATACTTCATACTTTGAGACTAGATCTCTGCCCTAAATGGTCGCCATATCCAATAATTAGTATATTGTTTTGTAATGTGGTTCTACTCCGTTTCACATCTGTCATACACACAAAGACTAAATAGACATTTTAAATTTTATTAAATGGAAACAGAATAAATACTTAATAAAATTCTTGAAGTATAGTTAGTGGTTTGGACTAAACTCATTGATTTAGGACTTAAGATATATCAATCAACTTAGCCTAGTGTCTGTTCTCTAGCGGAGCTAATTGTAGACAATCTAATCTAAATAATTTGCTTGTATGAAGCATGAAAGGGCCTTTAGCAATGGGAGGAAACCAGAGAAAACCCAAGAGGTTAGACACCAAGAAATGTTATTTTAATGTAGTTTTGTTTGTTTTTGTAGGATGAATTCCATTCAAGATTACGGTTTAACAGAAGAGGTATGGTTGGAATGGCCAATGCTGGTCCTAATGATAATGGAAGTCAATTTTTCTTTACAATGGCAGCAACACCAGAACTGCAGAATAAACATACTATATTTGGCAAAGTAAAACTCCTTTTTGCTTAACATCCTACTGTTCTGCTCTGACTGGGCTAATGAAGACCGGCATAAGCCATGCAGTGTGCTATGAGGGAAATTTTGCCCAGACAGTGGCACAGGCCTACTCTTATATCGATCCAAAGAGCTTAATGTAGAGCTTAAAAGGGAAATAAAAAACAACTAAAATCTCAAAGTAACAATCCTAATTTATTAATGAAACATCTTATGGTCGTTATCACAAGGACTTCACAGGTTGGGAAACCATGGCATAAAGTTTTGATACTTTTTGATTACCCTGTAATAATGTTGTTACAAGTTTTCATACTTAACGATTACCCTAAAATGATGTCATTACAAGTTTTCATACTTTTTGATTTCCCTATATTAATGTCGTTACAAGTTTTCATACTTTTTGATTACCCTAAAATAATGTCGTTACAAGGTTTCATACTCCATGATTACCCTAAAATAATGTCATTACAAGTTTTCATACTTCATGATTACCTTAAAATAATGTTGTTCCAATTTTCCATACTTTTTGATTTCCCTAAAAAATGTCATTACAAGTTTTCATACTTTATAATTGCCCTTAAATAATGTTGTTTGTAATTTACAGGTTACTGGTAATACTGTTTATAATTTAATCAAGTTACAAGAATCAGAAGTTGATGGAAGTGACAAACCTCTTCATCCTTATAAAATAATTAAAACACAGGTTAGATTATTTATTAATTCATACTAAATAGATATTCTGACAATTCAAGGGCAGTTGGATGTACGAATGGTTAGCATGTGTGCCAGTGTTGGGATTTCAAAATTTTTCTTGTCGGACTGTCGACCTGTACTTTTTTCAAATTCACCTCCAAAATTACTGTATTTCTCAGGGTATAAGTCGATACTTTTTTCACCACAAGTCTGCCATTCGTCTTATATGGATGGAGGTAAAAAAAAATAAAAAAAATGACATCCTGAAATTTTTTGGGCAGTAACTGTCGCTCCATGAAACCGAGCGAATGAAGTCATCATCTGCTAAATAAAAGCACTCACACGCACTATCGAGTAAAACAATTAACAACTTACACTATTCCAGTTGAAATATTTGTCAACAATTCTCAGCTTGTTTATTCCTTTTTTTAAAAACAAACCAAAAACTATTACATCTGTTGAAATACTTCAAGGAAGACTTTTTGACAATCTACATGTATTACGGAGTAGGGTCGCCTGTCCAACCTCGTAGGTTTTCTCCGGGTTCTCCGGTTTCCTCCCACTGCTAAAGACCCCTACGTGCAAGCGAATTATTGAAATAAAATTAAAAACCATATGTTAGTCCCAAAATGACCTAGTTTGTGTCGAGTGGACGTTAAACCCCATTTCTCTCTCTCTTTCTCTCACTTGTATTACGCTTGTAGGACTGAGAATGTTTGTGTATATTTCTTGATTTCTTTCTTTTCGAAATAGATATTGTCCAATCCATTTGATGATATTGAACCAAGAGCTATAAAAAGGAAAGAAGATAAAAATGAAGAAAAGAAACCCAAAAGTCAATCAAAAGCTACAAAGTGAGTTGATTTTTTTTTTCTTTAATGATAGCAGGTAGTTAGTTGTGAAAGAAATTATAGAAGTAAAAAAAATGACAAAATAACTACAAACACATTTTTTTCGACATAAGTAATTAAGTTGCAGTAATAAAACATAACAAGTAAAAGTACGGCATTAGGGAACAGTGGAATTTATTTTCAAATATTGAAACAGACAGTTTCTAAATCCTCAGAAAATTAGTCAATCACAACTACTCACATTACGGTACATGCAGTTAATAAAGGTTAGAATTCAGGCCCCAAATTCACAACGCATTCTCAGACTTAAGTAAAGAATTTACTCAAAATTGTTCACCTTATTTTAACTAAAATATAGCCCTTTATAAAACTTTTGTTGTTTTAATGTATTACATATATCAGTAAGAAACTTATGTGCATAGTTTGGTGTTTCTAGATCAAAGATATTTCTCATAAACAGTGATTGAAAGTTGAGTAAATTCTTAACTTAAGACTAAGAATGCTTTGTGAACTCGGGACCAGGTATGTTAAATCTGTTATCAAAAATTGGTGGAACAATTCTGAATTGGCTCCAGGCACTTTACCATAGAAATGATAATTTCCATTTGTTACTCTCAAAATGACCGAAGTATTGTAATGGCTGAATGTTAATTTCTAGCCTCAATATCTTATTGTATATTATATTTTGTTCTTTTAGAAATTTTAATTTGTTATCATTTGGTGAAGAAGCAGAAGAAGATGAAGAAGAGAATGTGCAGGTAACTAAGGTAAGTTTCAAATTTTATTACTTGCCATTAATTCTTTAATCTACAGCAATGTAAATTATAGTTCCTCGGATTCTTGATAGTAAATAGTCATATAAGTGTCATAAACAACTCTCAATGCCATTTGATGGGTCTGATTTTCAACAGATTGAATCTGATCTGCGGTTCAACGGCCATTGATGATTCATGGTAAAAATGGATAATCTAGACTTTGTTGATTATTGCAACAACAGTAACCATGACAATTGAGACTGCAGTGTTATTAAATGAGGATTTCTCGGCTCAGAGTGAAGTAATTTGACTGAAATTTTCAGCATATTCCCTTTACATTATCTATTTTTTAACTATTACAGCAAGAACTGTCAGCTCTTTATCTAATCTTCCATAATGTATCTTTAAAATTTCAAAACTTAAAAAATTGAACTGAAAGCTATTTAAAAGAGTAACCAAGCATCTTTTTTCCCAAAAGAAATAGGAAGTGATTCAAATGTGACCTAAATTATTTGTTTTTTGTCTCAAGATGCCCCCAGTATAAATAGTTGATACTAAGATAAATTTTATTGTTATTTTATTATGGCAAATTATTCATTACCAGGATTTAAAGATAAAAAGTAAAAGCAGCCATGATTTAACAGATGATCCAAGATTGAGTTCAAAACCAGCAGTAGATATTAAAACAGAAGAAAAAAAGAAACCCACACAAGCTAAAAGTAGTAGTGAAGACTCTGATGTATGTCATACATTTTAAATTTCCTTTTTTTATTCATTTTTTATTTTAAGCCGTTGATAGTCATTCGAGTGATTTTAAATCTCTTGAAATCTTTTTTTTATTCTTTTTTTTATTTAAAGCCGTTGGACGTCATTGTAGGGATCTTAAATCTCTTGAAATCAGCAATATTGTTACTCTTGAACCTTGTCATGGAATATCACTCCAAAAATGGTTCAAGTTTGTTTAGTGTTACAGAGATATGATGAATTGAAACGTTTTTGGCAACTTTCAGTATCTTATGCGGAGGATATGTAAACAAACCAGTGCCACCTATACATGTTGTGTAAAATATTTTGTAAATGAAATGAAATGAGGTTTAATGTCCTACTGTTCTGCTCTGACTGGGCTAATAAAGATGGGCATACAGTTTGTCATGATGGAAATTTTGCCTGGAGAGCGACACTACAGACTACTCTTATATCGAATTCCAACTGTCAAGCGATATCATGTACATGCCAATTGTTTACACGGAAAGCTCGGTTTTTCATCCATATAAATTACGCTGCCCCTTGCCAGGTCCCCCCGTCCTGCACCACTGACAAAGGGGAACCAGCTCGGAAAATCCCGATGAACTTTCTGAGATCGAAAACGGGACCTCCAGGTTAGCAAGCCAATGTCTGTCTTACTCACTGAGCCACTGAGGCTCTATATTTTATCGTAAAATATAAGATAATTTTTATGGTGGAATTTTTTTTAGTCAGATTCAGAGTCAAGTGAACCAGAGCAGAAAAAATTTAAAAAAGAAAAGGATTCTAAAAAAGAAGAAATAGAAGAGAAGGTGGAGCCAGTAAAAAGCAGAAGGTATTTAATATATTTTATATTTGAATGAATCTAGAACATAATAACATTAATGACAGGGCGACAGACTCTGGGTTTGTAAGGTATTTGGGTGGCCGAATGTTTTAATGAGCCAAGTGGCGTGGTTACGATTCCCAGGGGTAGGGTCACCTGCCAAACCTTGTGGGTTTTCTCCACGTTGTAAAGTTTCCTCCCACTGCTAAAGACCTAGTATCCTGCATTCAACACAGATTATAACAAATATAATCATTCAAAAGCAACTGACTTAATTCATCTTTTTTCCAGTGATGAGTTAAAGGAGGAAAGTCGAAAATTACAGAAAGAATTAAGGCATAGTAAAAAGAAAAAATCTTCTGAGGCAGATGAAAACACAAAAGAAGGTAATCAGTAAAAAAGTGTTAGAATGTTGAATTTTGAAATTCCTCATATATTGTTATTTTTAAAACTCATTCTGGTTCTCAGATAGTCCTGCATCACTTCAAAAAATAAAAACAGGCTTTTTAATTATGGCAAGTAAATATGTTATCCTGGTTACAGAAAGTAAATCCAATAAAATATTGGGGGGGGGGGGCTGTGTATGGCCTAATGGTTAGTACGTGCAGCTCCTGGGTGCTACTAAGAACTGACAAATTGTCCAAATTATAATTATAAATAATTTTTTCCATTTTTTATGAAGTATTTTTTTATAAAATCATTTAAATTTTGAATATGATGTGTAGAATATATCTATAACATATCTATCCTCTTTGGTCACTTTTTGCAATACTTTGGTCGCTATTGACAAAAACGCTCTTGTCAGTGATGAAAGATGAGACAAAAAATACATGTATAGTACATGTACATGTATATGAATTAAAATTTGATCTCATTATTTTCTCAATATTGTATTTCAGAACAGTCAAAGCCAATTAAGAATGATGCAATATCTGAATACAAGCAGGAGCAAGAAAAATACAAACAACAAAAACGGACCCTAGGAAAGAAAGGATCCAGTCGTGAAGAGTTAACTTTAATGATGTTATCTCAGTTTAAAAATCAATTAGAGTCTGTAAAAACTATAGCTGGAGATTATTCTGATGATGAAGAAGATAAAAAAGAAGAAGATGAAGATCTGGAAGCTGCAGATGATTCTGATTTATCTTGGTAAATTCAATTTTGGCCAATCTGATTAAAACTCCGATCCTATTTCGTGTCGTTTTTTATAATTCAAAATTTTGTTTTACTTGTCTTTACTACACTAGGATCTGGAAGAGTTGTTATAGTTCAAATTTTTATTTAACTTGTCTTTACTACACTAGGATCTGGAAGAGTTGTTATATAACCCATGTTCTGGATGATGTGAGGGATTAGCCAATGAAACGGTCTTTTGGCTTGAGGTGCACGGAACTGTGGGTAACCCACTAGAAACATCATTGCTGATTGGTTAATCAAATGTCTGACATCATAGGGTCAAAGCCACTCGTATGACATCTGACACAATCTTCCACTACAACCGGTCAGATCTTCATGCAGTAGAGGCCATCGAAAGTATAAAGTAGTGATCTGACCAGTTTGGTACCCTTCCATGCGTTATTCAATTGTCATTTAGAGAGGTAATTCTATACCTTTGTTCTGTGCAGAAGCCGCGCTGGCTCAGTGGGTAATACGCTGGCTTATTAACCAGGAATTCCCAATTTGATCTATTTCTTGGCCGAGAAAGTTCCTCAGGGTTTTCCAGCCTGGTTTCCCCTTGCAAGAAAAAGTGTCTAGTTGTACAGATGGGACAAAAAAACAAGTGCACATAAATGTTTACCATGGGCAAAGTTGTCCCCATAACACACTACTAGTCTTCATTAGTAGGGTCGGTACAGAAATGTAGGACAATAGACACCATTTCATATCTCTTGGTAAGACAAACATTGACACTGATACCATATATTTGGAATTCTTTAGTTTAACATCTTTACATAACCCTGTCTGGATCATTTTCAGTGGGTAATGGACTGGCTTATTAACCCGGAAATCCCAATTTTGATGCATTTCTTGGTCGAGAAAGGACTTTTGGGCATTGGTTCCCCTTGTCAGTGGTGCAGGATGGAGGGTATGTCTAGGAACAGCAACATTTGAATATCTGGTAAAATTTGGGAAGCATTTTGTTGGAGCATTAGCAATAAATATGTTATTTTTTTCTATTTCTTTTTTAGGATGAGACATACACTTAAGTTTGATGAAAAACGTAACAAAGTTCTTGATGCTAATATTCATGATACAGACAGATATGAGATCTATGACCCCAGAAATCCAATGAATAAACGAAGACGAGAAGCCAGTAATAAAGACAAGAAATGAACTTGTTGAACTTGTTATATTGTTGTTATTTTGGCATAGGCGTAGGAGCAGCCCCCCCAGATTCGGTGAACCATCCTTTTTGGGGGGCAATGTATTTCCATTTTTATGGCACAAACATCAGAGAATTAGACCATTTATCATACAAAATATAATTGTATAATTATAAAATGAAATCGCTGGTGGTTTATGTTTTGAATACTATAATACTAAATAAGATCTTGCGTAATAACATTTGTGTACAACTCGTTTTAGTTAATGATTGATTTATTCTGAAAATTTAATTTGAGTGACCAAGAATATCAGCCCCCCCCCCACACACACACACACCCAATGCCTATGTATATTGGGACATATTTTTATAAGGCCCTGGGGTCTACAGATATGTGTACGAAATATTGTATTTTGTCTAGAGCTCTGGACACATTAGCTGAATCATTCGGCGCTTAAAAGCCCCAACATGTTAGAATAACCGTTAAATATAGGGCTTACGACCATACACAGTCGTATCATAATCTGATATGTGCGTTTGTTTGTGATTTCTGTGTATCGTGTCTTGTCCGTAAATATGTTTTGTGGAGTTGTTTGTGTGTGGTGCAGTCCCCATGCACTTACTAATAGATACTTTCATTGAAATACATTTGTTTTGTTTGAAAAATTATATAAATCAATCAAATCAGTTTGAATGAAGCCTGTATCACTGCAGAGGACTGTGCAGTGCATTGGCAGGGGTGGATCCAGGATTTTCAGAAAGGCGGGGTGTGCTGCACCCACTTGGGAGTGCGAAGCCCGGGCTCGGTGGGCGGACTGATGGGCAATCAACCAAGTCACCAAACGGCTGGTTTCGGAGTAAATTACGACGGGGATCACTACCATTTTTAAGTATTTTTCTTCTCCTTTCCCGCAAATTGTTTGCCATTGCAAAAAATAGGGGGGTCATGCGCCGGGTGTGCCCCCCCCCCTTTGGATTCGGCCTGATTGGGAACTTACGGTCAGCCCACTATCCATTCGCTTAATTTAATATTACTTATGTTGTTTATTATTGCTTGTTTCTTGTTTGCGGGGGTTGTCTTCTGGGTTTCTGTTTGTGTGTGGTGCAGTTCTCCTGCACCTACTCCAAGGCCCTACTGTAATATTCTGGCCATTTTATGATTACATTGTTTTGTATTGATTTCACTCTGCCAGCGTCATATGCAACAGATAAATATAGTAATAATATGTATGTTATCTTTTTTTGTACAAAGCAGCTCAGTCTTTTTAATATTCAGTTGTGCTGAATTACACCATAACAACAGCCTTTACATTAAAATAGTAGACTACAACTTGCCCTGAGCTCAAAAAGCATCTCAGACTTAAGTTAAGAATTTACTCAAAATTATTCGCCTTATTTTAACTAAAAAATACCCCTTTTTTGTTGTTTTAATGTATCAAATGCATCAATAGCCTAACTATAAGAAACTGTACAAAGTTTTGTGTTTCTGGATCAAAGATATTTCTCATAAACAGTAATTGAAAGTTGATTAAGTTTCGAATCCCCGCTTGTATACGTGGCAAGGAGTAGGGTTGCCTATCCAACCTCTTGGGTTTTCTCCCTGTCCTTGGGTTTCCTCCCGCTACTAAAGACCCCTACGAACCATATGTTAGTCCCTAAATGACCTGGTTTGTGTTGGGTGGACCCTTTCTTTATACCATGGTCCATGTTTATATGCCTACCGGTAGACTGTTTGTGATTGTCTTCTCGTAGACAAAACAGTGGTGACAGTATTTTGAAGTTGGGGGGAGGGGGTCGCTGTGGATGTCCCCAAGAAATTTAAAAAAATCTTCTGGTGGAATATGCGAATTAGATTATATTTGGGATTGCATCGATTAGTAAGAAAGTCTAAAAATAAATTGGCCCACGGAGCAAAATTGGATATGGCTAGATTTGAATGAAAAGCAGCTAGGTTTAGGCTATGCCTATGGTGCAGGAACTCCCAGTAGACTACTATGGTGGCATTCTTTAATCTGAAAATATAAAATCAAATCAACTTTACAATCGGAATGTTGGTATATGAACTTCTTGAATAAACGAGAAGTTTTCTGGAAACGGTAAATTGTAGTTGAGGGGAGGCAACTCTGTTTAAAAACGAAAGAAATCTAGAGAACATTAGCCTAATTTTGTTCCGAGAGCAGCTTAATAATTTATTTAGTACAATAATGATCTTAGCACTTCAAGAAGATCGGAGTCGACATGTTTTGTTTAACTTCAAAATTCAAATACATTTGCAGTTTCTGTATTTGACATTTAAACAACAACCAATAACAGTAAAAAAAAGTCTACCGTTTAAAATTAGCCACGCCCCTCTTATTTGTAATTTTAACCAATAGTTTTCGAAGAAATTTCCGTCTGCTAGTGTGCGGGACTGCTATTTTTCATCAATATGGCGGCTCTTCCACCGCTTGCGAAGGTAATATCGATAATTAGATGTAATTTCACATAATTAAGGAAATAGTTATCTATTTTTCATCCATTTTCTATTTGAATTGTGAATGTTCTAAATTATAATGCATAGAAATGACTGATATCGAGGTAGCTATTGTAGAAAACACCCCCGATTTTTGACATTTTTTGTCGGGCACTGATAAAATTCGTTTCTCCGATTTTGTGTCACACACACAGACTTCGACTTTAGGCTCCCTCTCGTTCAAACTGGCATCTGATGATTTGAGTCATACAAACTATTCGCATTCCATATCTTTATTAGTTCGAAATGTTCTGATCCCTTTTAATCAGTTTTTCTGAAATTTCAATAGATCTAAATGATATAACCGAGTTTAGTTACAATTTTTGTTGTGAATTAGAAGAAGCTTAGGCCTTCGAATTATCTCTCTAGAGATGCATCTCTGACATTTCTAGATTCTGTGGTTAGGGAGCCCCGTGACCGAATCTTTTCCCTTCTAAAAGTTGTACTCGACATGTTGAATGTGCACGCTTCAGTGATGTAACTCTAATTGATTTCAGACGAGTCTCGGGCTCTCTTTGTGTCTATAAATAGCCACAGCACGTGAAATTCTCAACACTTGTAATAACTATTAGAGACGTAAAAAATCTATTGTTGACGATTCTGAATAGCAGTAATATTTAGCTTTTTGGTTATTACTGCAAGGGGGTTGGATGGCTGAATGGTTAGCGTGCGCGCGCTGTATCATAAAGTCTGTTATTGAGTCGACTGGCGTGGTTTCGAATCCCCGGTTGTACGTGGCAAGGAGTAGGGTCGCCTGTCCAACCTCGTGGGTTTTTTCCGGGGCCTCCGGTTTCCTCCCACTGCTAAAGACCCCTACGCGCAAGCGAATTATGTAAATAAAATTAAACCATGTTAGTACCGAAATGACCTAGTTTGTGTCGAGTGGACGTTAAACCCCATTTCTCTCTCTCTCTCTCGTTATTACTGCAGCTTTAGAAATTACGCTCGTTTTATTTTTTAAATTGCTTTATTATTAACTAGACCGTTAGGAGTGGCATCTTTTGGTTTAGTACAAATAATGTCTCTGAATAACGCGGGTTGGGCAGGAAAATGATACTAGCAGTAGTTTCGTTTTACTTTTACAAGGTTCTTAAAACAATTGTTGTGTCGCCCACCGGGCGTTATTTGTAAATTCAATTTCTTGTTCTAGCTTTCTGTCATGTTTCGTAAAAAAGTAGTCTTGATTATCCCGGCCTGTCAATCAGACGGAGAATGGTCGGTAGACTGGTTAATTGAGACTAATTTCAAAACAAGGGCACGTAACCTATTTTTTGCTCAAAAGTGTCTGGATGTCATGGACGACACTCCGAACCATTTTTCAGTATATTATTTATAGATGGTTAAATGGTCATATCCTATTAAGTACAACATGACCGTTTATTTAGTGACTATAATTGTGTGAAACTGATTTAAAGCTTAGTATATATATAAGTATTGTGGTGTAATTGTCGAGATATTTATTTATGGTGGGGCAGCCTACTGTGGTAGAATGTTGTGGAGAGAGGAAATTAGTTAGCTTAATTCATTAACCTGACAATGATATGAATGATTTGCTAGTGCTGTACAGTGCGTACATTACTACATGTATTATGTAATGTAGGGACCAATGTGAATAGCAGTGCTAGTGAAAGTAAACCAGATAGAACCCTGAGGAAACGGTTCAGCCTCCGTCAGACAAATATTTGGGCTTACTTAACGACTTTTCTGACTGGCCAAGAAAGTTCATCCAGATTTTCCGGCGTGATTCCCCCTTTGGCGTGCACAGATCCATATTGACATTTGGAATTCGATATAAGAGTAGGCTGTAGTGCCACTGTCCGGGCGTATGCCCGTCTTTATTAGCCCAGTTCAGAGCAGAACAGTAGGACGTTAAACACCATTTCATTTCATTCATCACTCTTCTGACTTACTTAACTTTATAATACAGGTATATTACTTTTACGGGAAACGATGATTATCAAAAAACCATAAGTGCAGCTAATTTTTATCGTTTGTGTGTCATGTTAATATTTTCTTTAATGATTTGAGTTAGCCTATTTCAAATAAATATATATACAAAAATATTACAGATACAAAGAAACACACCATGTTATATAAAACATTCTTTTTGTAAACAGTCAACATTGAAAAATTGCCATTTCTTTATAGTAACTTTTACATGCATGTTATTTTTATAAATTTGTTCTTGGTTTAATATAAATTTTTCCTTTCAACTGATTCTCAAGTCCAAATCTTCATCTACCAGAGTCAGAAATGTTAAGCCATATTATTATTGAAGCTGAAATGTCGCGTGACTGAAATGTCATGTAATCGAGAAAACCTGTTGAGTTAGGTATCTGCAACTGACCCTACTCCATAAAATTTACAGACTTTAATTTGAACTCACAATACATTCAATTTCCTAGTTATATTCTTTGAATGACATTTAGTAATTGGAACATAATCAAATAACACACTATTTATGGATAACAATTGCTATGGGTTATTTCACTGCGACGTTTCAACAAGATTTCACAAGTCGTTATCAAGCATATAACACAAATAAATAAAATGATAAGAAATATGGTTATACATATACAAGAACAGTGCGACTCCTCCATTGGGTGTAAATTCATCAAATATATGGGCAGCTGTCCCCAAGCTGTTAAATAAACAGATGTACATAGAGAGGTATAAACTGTTATAGAAAGGTCAATTATGCATCTTTAGGAAATGTAATTAGCTTACATAATGTAGGAATGTGACTCATCTAACTCTAACCTTACTTACAGTCATCAATATACATGTAAACAAGCTATTATGTACTGGTACATGTACATGTAGTATCAAGATAAAAGTGGCTCAGGGAAAATGTCAGACATTTCAGAATTGTTATTATTATTATTATTAGCAAGACCTACATGCAATATAATTATAAGCCAATGACTAAATCCTTGTTAATGCCTCCTACCAAAACCGCAGTTTAATGTGGTACATGTATCTCGAAATTACCTGTCAAATGATATTCTATTTTCAGATTGCAGGCAGCCATGCTGGCATATATGAGGCCTACTTCCTTCAGGTAGGTTTTAATACCCATCCTTAACCCCATAAGGAGATTTACCCAACTGACAACTTTGGTGCTTTCCTTTATTGGTTTTCTCCTAGTTTTCAGAGAACATATTCATAATTCTGATTATTTTGAAATGTTATTGTAAGTAATGTTTTTGTCATATAATTTTGGCTGCCTCAGACTTAATCCATATAGTGATATCTGTCAAACACACACACACTTAATGTAAACAGCTTACAATGTAACTTATTCACACTGTCTTCATTGTACTGAATCATTTTTATACAGGCTGATCCAAGTGGAAGTGGGAGTGTTGGTGCTTTGGATGCTGCCAAATTCATGAAAAAGTCTGGTCTGAATGACGCAGTCTTGTCTAAGGTAAATTTGAGTTCTTTACAAGAAGCATGGATATATGTAGTGTTATTTATGTTTATGTATGTTATGTAGGGCAGATGAATTGTTTAACCATGATATTTTTAAAATACACAATGCAATGAATGTCTGTATATGTATTCTTATATGTGCAGCTGGATATAAACTCATAAAATATATACTCCTTCTGTTAAATGGCTGAGGAAGGCATTTTTCTAATGTTCAGGCCATAATTTTGAAGGTTGTTAAACAAATACAATATTGCAAACAGTATATTTTAATATTATGGCAATATCTACATTAGGTATTATTGTTTATAGGTTTGGGACTTATCCGACCCTACTGGGAAAGGTTATTTAGAGAAACCCGGGTTTTATTCAGCCTTGAAATACATCAGTTTGGTTCAGAATGGACAAGAAATGACACCAACTGCTTTAGTAAATGAAACTGCTCCTCCCAATTTGGTATGAATATTTTTCACTTTTCTATATTTCTTAAT